ACACGCTAACTCTCACTGGCTGCTATATTTAGCTCAGCCTCACTGTGCTGTTACTATTCCCAGCATTGTACATGAGGGGGCGGGCAGTGCGTTTTCTTTCTTTTTTTCACAAAAGGGAAGAAAAAGTTCCTTTTCACAACTGATTTATTTTTCCGAGTATATCTAGACATCTAGTCCTGCTATCTGCCACTGATACCTGACTATTTTAGGGACGCTGCAGTTAAGGCCATCACGATTTCAAGATTGAAGGACAATGGCCGATAAAGTGACCTGTTGATTGATGATAAGTTAAAGCTTGAACAGAAATAGCTAATAATCCTGGATAGAGTAGTCGCTTGGATTTCCTTAGATGCATTTTGGGAAAACCCCGCCTTGATTACACTGCCCAAATCAAGCTTATTGTGTTTTCAGCACCAAGGACAACTCCCATTAGACCATATCAGCACTTAGGAGTTCAGCACCAAGGACAGCTCCGCCACATTGAACACACGTTGCTTACATTCCTGTGGTGCCTTCTCCTGAATTTTGATGGAAAACGTTAGGAGGTCAAAGGAGAATGAAAAGCAGAATATATAAGAAGTTAGGACAAGACAAAGGTGGTGTTGAGGAAATAGAACTACGCTCCAGCTGGACAAAACATTAATGCTAGTTGCAACTTCTGAATCAGTTCTTTCAGATATGAGCCTTCATAAAAATACTTTTCAATAATTGACTTTTCACCTAATCGCTTTAGTATACTGTAAAACTGTTTTGATTGGCAGTGGAGTTCCTCTGAGTCTCAGCTTGCTATTTGATAACTATGTGGTGATCAGCAAAGAGAGCTCAGTTTGAAGTGTGGCATATATGTTTTGATTAGAGGTCAGTTCTTCCTCTCTCTTACTACACAAAGATAGGCCTCTGTCATTACAGATCATTTATGGCCGGAAAATGATTGAAGTAGGCTTATAAACTAGTTGTTGACCAGACTAGCTTCCCACTGCTCATCCACGATAGCTGCAACATCTTAAATTTAGAATCAATTAATCCACCCTCTTTTCATGATATGCATCTTGGACAAAATCCAGGCAGCCATCATAACTGTGGGTACTTTCCACCGACTGCCTGGCTGTAAAGGCTCAAACTGTATTCAAAATGGAATCTGATTATATGAGAAAGATTCCCTGAAACCTTTCTGTGAACACATTCAAAGGTGTTGTAGTTAGAGAAACTTTGCAGTCTGCACTACAGGTTGTGGTGTAAATTTAAGTCCGTTGTATCTGAACCACAGAAACTCAGTGTTAAATTTGTAATTACAGCCATAAATGTTGTCGACCAGATGTAAACAAAAAGGCAGTTTGGCACTAAACCACCACAGGTTCAACATTAGCCAGCCACATCACCTTTCGTCAGGGCACTAGTCATGGACTGATGCTGTTCTGTTTTTCAAATAATAACAATAATAATATTAATAATAAAGCAACACTGAATGTAACCAGAACAACATAGAGAGAAGGGAGACACCTGAATGCACAGTCCACAAATACAGCGTGTGGCCTGACGTCATACAACACTAAGAACATTTCTGAAACATCATGAAATATAGGACCTATTGTAACTACTAGATTATTAATACCATTGTGAACTTGCAAGAAACAGACACCCATTCATGCCAAGTGTAGATTTTGCCTCATGGAGTCCTTGTTTTATCACTGCCACCAACACCCCCTCCCAAATGTTGGTAATAAAGTGAGGAAACCCATTGAGTTCCACCAAGTGCTTCAGGACTATTGATTTGCCTTCACTTCTGCTCTCACATGGACTCCTTCCTTTTCTCTTTCTCTCAGGGTCGTCTTCGCTTCCTCACCCACTGCAGCCGCCCACTACTCCTCCACCACCTGATTATTTTCAGCTCCGCTGTATGCGTGTGTCCGCGCGTGCAAGTGCATGTGCCTGGCACTGGCTGGCTGACTGGCGGGCTGGTTTGGGAAATACCTGGTCACGATCAATGACGAGAGGGTTTAAAATCGGTTGCATACCGCCCCCTACTGTCGGGAAAGGAGATTTTAAACGTGGAACTTAAACGCACCATGATGCCTGTGTCAGGATATGTGGAGTATCTCTGCAAAAAAGCACGGAAGTAAGGATAAAATATCAAATTAGTACAATAGGAAACGAACGCAAAGCACAAATTAATGCATTATAAACAAATTCGTACAATATTAAGATTCAGTACTGTATCACAGAAGACAGTGACTTCACATTCAAACACAGATACGGTATGAAAACAACCAGATAATATGACGTTTGTGAACCGTCGGTGCTGAAACCTTAGTTCATTCCAGCACTGATTCAGCACAGTACTAACAAACACACAAGGCTCTTAAATATTTTCAGTCTAGGCCATAAAAAAAAGGGAGGATGTGATTTAAATCATTTTTTCTGCTTCGTCTGCGCATTGCTCCCCTGGATCGCAGTGCGCGCCCATGCGCCTTAACCCGAGCAGAAATACAAAGAGAGACAAAAAGGCATCATGAACGCTTTAAGTGGTTCTTTCGGTGGGGATAAAAATAGATCTGGCCACCTTGAGAGGAAAACCCTGGTCTGGATCGCCCTCTAAAGGGAAGACTCTGCCAAGACACGGGACAATCTGTAGATGAACGAGCCAGTTCTGCATGGATGCTCTATTATTCAACCAGGTCGTAAAGCGAATTCCAGTGTACACGAACATCGACATCCTGCATTTCTAATCAGATCTCATCTTAAAATTACGTTGTTTTTTTGCCAAATACATTCATCCTATTATTATTATTGAACTGAAAATCACTGGCAAACTTTACCTGGCATGTAAGAGGATGACCAAATGAGTTCGTGCTTTATCTTCCAGTTCATCGCTAATAAACTGAACTCGTTCTGTAGTTTCTTTAAATACAACGTGAGCTTCTGCACCATTTTTGAGGGCGTTGAAGCTTCCCATAAGAGACAAATACCCTTACTGTCGCTTTGTGCTGAACTAGTCCTATTTCATTAACATGTCCCTTGTACATTAATGATTTGGAGATTTTTGTGTCGTCTATCAGAGTTAAAAGGATTCAGTTGCCTGGGTCAGACACTGCCTTAATCAATGGAGAAAACAGAGTTTGAGCGCCCTCCTCCTCCTCAGCATCCACCTACACACAGCAGCACACATCCAGACCTGCAGCACCCACTGAGCTGTTTAGTTGTTTTATGCATAGATTACAATTCTGATCTCTGGAATACCCAGACATTAAAACTGAATGCAAACTCTAAATGCTAAATAGTTTATATTTAAATCTGGATTTTGATCAGGTCTGATCAGCAAAGCCATTAGAACTACATGAAGTAGTTTTGGTGCAGTACTCAAGATTAGAGCTTTGGTCTAAAGTCACAGATTCAATTTAATTTTGTCTTGTGTTTAAGTGGAATGACTGGAGTTGCTGGAAGGTCCTATTAAGAGTAGAATAAAGATGTTTGTGTGTAGGAAAATGTGCACATGACTGAACATGCACAAAGCAAACAGAGCCTCCACCGCCAGCCTGTGCAAAATAAAGTTCTCTAAACATGGCGGCAACTATTTATAGCTCCTTCAATTATTGAGAGCTGATTCTACTTTTTTCTACTTCAAAGCAGACAAGCCCACCCCCAGCACCTCAACACACACACACACACACACACATCCACACACAAAGAGGAGGAAGGAGTAGGGAAGCAGCAGCAGAAAAGGCATGTTTGTGTATGTGAGTATTCTAAATGTAGATGCCAGTGCTAAAATTACCTTCTTCATTCTGTTTTGCTACATATATAGGTGAGTACAAATGGAACTGGAGGGAAAAAGGAAAGACAGGAGGCTGGGAAGGATAAATGGGATGAATGGGTGGGTGAGCAAGTGAATGGATGGTGAGGGAGGAGGAATTTAAGTCTGGAAAAGGTTCTGAATGCACAAGTCAAGTTTTGTATTCAGAAAATCTGAAGTGGCAAAATTGGATCTTTGTCTTGATCCCAGACTGAGATTAACAATTGCAGTGTTCCACGTACCTAAACAAGTAAAAGGACAGAAGTCCATACTTCCATACAGGTTTATGATAAAAATCCAATAAAACATCACTGTTTCATACAAAGTTGTACAGTCTGCCAATTCAACTAAAGCTCTAATAAAAAAGGAAAAGATTAAATAAAATGCTAGAAGATTTTGTTAACATGTTTCCTACAATAAGCTGATAAAAAAAAGATCACATACAACTTGGCAGTCTTGTGTTTGACAAAAATACACACAATCATAATTAAAAAAATGAAAGGTTTTCTTGATTCCAAGAGGTATACAGGGAGTCAATGTTGAAATGGTAGCTAGAAACGCCTGAGCCCCCGTTGTCTGGTGTTCTGGAGACAGGAAACCAAACCCCCACCCTCCTCTGAACAAACAAACAAAAAAACTTGTATGTCTTGGAAAGTATAAAAAGATGTGGAGACCAGTAAAAACAAAAACAAAAACAAAACTAAACAAAAGCAAATTCATGGGTAAGTGACAAACAGTCCATCTTGGTGTGGAACGATCTTGATGTGGTGCTGTTTGGGGGAGAATTGTGTACTGTGTGTGTGTTTGTGTGTTAGTAGATTCGGCCTCGGCTCCTGTTGCCTCTGGCTCCAAAGCCTCGTCCTCTGCCTCCCCTGAAGCCGCCACGCTCTGGAGTCACAGAGTGATGAAAACAAACCGTTCACATATTATTACTTACTGATATTTAAATTGGGTAACGGGTAATATCGATATTATTTTTGATAATGAGTCATTACATTTGGCTGCAGAGACATGTAGTGAGCAGGGCTGCTCCCTGGTGGACCAAATCTAACAGTGACCTCAAAAGATGTCTGGCATTTCTGTACTGCAATTTCATTTAACTTACAGGACCAGCATACATATCACTACGATTATAAAAGAAAGAGTGGCTGGTTTATCTCTTGACTGGTTTTGCTAATGAGATCTTGTTTTGTTTGCTATTTTTTTATTTTATATTTTGATAAGATTTATGCTTTTTTGTAGTGACTTTGCCACTGGAACCTGTTTAGGTACTGTGTCCTCTACTAAAAAACAAGCTACAGGCTTTCAGAGCCACCTTCAAACCTACAGAGGGTAAGCATTTGAAAACTAGGACATTTTAAGGAGAGTAGTTTTAACAAATTTCATAACCAGTGATGTTTTTCTGAGAATTTAGTTGTAACCAAACCTTCGAACAAGCCCTCACAGAGCCAGATGTGAGTAGAAAAATTGTTAACCGTAGTTGAATTAGCTAAATCACAGATGAGTCCAACATGCTGCACAACAGTTTTCGGTGTTCCTCACCATAGCTAAAATTGCCAATGGAGGCGCTGTACTTGCCGCTGGGCGGATTGTAGATTTGCCGAGTGTCCCTCCGAGGCAGAGGAGAGATTTGTTTTTTTGTGCTGCCACCAGAGCCCATCTCCTCACCTGACGGACGCTTGGGCCTAAAACAAAAGAAAAACAGATGATGACCTAGTGCTGCTGTGTGTTCGGTTTCCGACAGCTAAATCAAAGGTGTTTCTATCAGCTCTGAGACACCAGCAACGAGAAGCAGGAGCAGACTTACGCTGCTGCCTCTGTCTTCTGGACGGGTTTCCAGGAGAGGGTGACTGTGCTCTTGTATGACGGAGGGTTGTGGAAAAGATCCTGCAAGAAAAGAGAGTTTAAGACCAAAAAAGCCATTTGTTATAGTACAGGGTGCATATATTGCTGACACCAGGTGACCAGAAAAAGAGAAACTGGTTAAAATACAACAGTCCATACAAAAAAGAATTCCTCTGGGACAAAGAAAACTGTCAGCTGGAGAGGACACTATGAGAAGAAGCAGTTTTGGACTGGAGGAAATTTTCATAGTCTTTAGAACTGTTGGACAAAACACCCCTATATTTGTATGTCCGCACCGCAGGACTGAGAACAATAATAGTTCTGAGAACGCTGTTTTGAGAGACTTTTTACCTCCTACTTCAGGATAGGTACTCTCCGAGCACAGTCCACGAAGGACATACGTGTACGTTGACTGCAGCACCACTGTCATTTTTAAAAAATCGTGTTAGCTGTGTAAACAACAGCGATCAACATCCACCCGCCAACCAATCACATTTCCAGGAATGCAACGGACAGGAAGACAACATGATCCTGACCTTTGACCATTAAAATCTAATCAGTCCATGGTCCAATCTATGGGGATGTGTGTGCCAAATTAGTGCCTTAAGGCGTTCATGAGATAGCACTTTCACGAGAATTGGACCGACTGATAATCCAAGAACATAACACATCAGACCACAGCTATGCAAGGTGTGGAGGCATTAAAATCTACCACACACACATACACAACTTAAGCAGTAGCCTGGATAAAACAGAACAATTTAAAGGCTGTTGCACTGCATTTCATTGCACAGGCACTGGTTCTTCTGGTCAACCACTGTATGTGACCAAAAACCTTACCTTGATAAGAACATTGATGTTGTTTGTGATCTTGAGGGCCACCACTTTGATCTTGTTCTGGTAATACACACACACACAGTAAGTTTTTGAGATATTTTTCAGAAGGACTGTGAGCACATAGAGCAACAAACGAAGTTTCTACTTCAGCTGAGCTCTCAATTGTGATGTTGACAGTAGTTATTACCTCTTCTGTCTTCAGAGCATCTCCTGTCTTGCCTTGCAGTGCTACTCGCAGCTGTCGGATGTAAACCTGCAGGCCTCTGGCAAAGTACTGTAACCTGTTAAAACACAAATCACATTCATGTCCATGTGAAAAGTGGTCTTTTTTTCCCTTTAAAATAACCAAGGCGATCTTTTCTTAAGCTAAACACTTTGGTATGAGCTCACAAATTTCACTACATTTATTCCTGGACACTGTGTGTGGGACATTCCTTCACCTGATCTTAAAGTCTTTGAGGTGCTCGGCATCCACTTTGTCGAGGAGGAAGTCCGGCAGCTTCTTGCCCAGCTGGTGGAAGCTGAAGAGGAGACACTCCACATAGCTGAACTGCAGTTTGGGCTCCTCGCTTGCTGAGTTCTCACCGTTCTCCACCTCTTCTGGTGGTAGAGGCATGAACTCCTAAACAAACAAAGCAAACATGAATAATCATAACTGGAACCTTTTTGTTACCCCTCCTTGACTGTCAAACTGTTTTGGGCCATTAGGGTTTACAAGAACCAAGGGACATATGGGATTATTGTTTAATCTACCAGTATTTATTTTAACAACTTTTAGGGAGCCTGCACTGGAACCCCTGACATGCAAAATGGATAATAATGGCTCAGAAAATTTGGGAATGGTTATTATTAAGGCCACTGTTTTAACTACCCTAGCTGATTACAAAAACCTTTTTGTATTTTATATACAGCTACAAAGGACATGTCAGTAAATTCCGCTTGCCTTTCAGAACTCTGATGGTAGTAGAGGTAAAAATGCAGGCTCTTAAAAAGGACTGTTGGTTTAAACACCAGAACAAGACAGAGTGAACAAGTCGAGCTCTGATGCATGTGTGCAACAATATAAATGTAAAAAGGAAATGCGAGACAGAGTAGGAAAATCTTAGACTGGCTCAGTGCGGTGGTGGAGGGGGTGCATGTGCATTTCTACAACCAACAGGACAATCCGTTCTCACCAACAGCTTGGTAAACAGCATGTTGAGGTTGGCCTCCAGCTTTTCCATGTCTCCACAGAATGGACTCATCTCAGCCAGCAGCTTCAGCACCTACACACACACACACACACACACACACACACACACACAGCTCAGCAGATCCCCTTACACTGTGTAATGTGCACTGCTAATGACAAACAGTGTTGCGTGGTGCAGACTAATGGCCCGTTAACAACATGCGGTTGGCTGACACTTCTGACAGGTGGCTGCCACGTTGACTTTGTTTACTACAACGACTGCTCACCAAATGTCAGACATTAGGAGTATCGACCTCACACCAGTGGCCATATTCATCAGGCCTCTCAAGAACAGAAGTGCTGATTCAGGCTGAATCAATCCAGGCTGTGAATCTAGTCTCTAGTCCTTTTATCCAATGGCCACATTCACTTTTTGCTGTGAAAAATCTGATTCTTACTTTACGTGTGTTACAATAAAATCACCCTGACAGACTAGGAACTACATTCCCAGCTCTATAAAAGTTGAAATAAATTATTCCAGTCACTGATCTATATATGTGATGCATTAAAGCCCCTTTCAGACATGCACCCCTAGCCAAGTATTTGCCTGTTACTTCATGTCTAGACGTCATGTCTGAACAAAGCGCTGTGTTGCATGGCTTGCAAAGTTTTACCTGGTCGAGTTGAGGTAAATAGCCAGCTATGTTCTTACTGGCTATAAGTATGTACTAAAGTGGTCAAATTTCTAGTAAAGGTCCTATAAAGATGATGGCAATTCTACAGCACAACAAAACATTTTCTCTTTCACTGCTTTGTTCTGGCTAATGCAGCTTTCTGTCTTCATTCACTATATAGTTCGCCTGACCACCGCTGCTCGCTCTTAGCAGTATATGTCAGGCAGATAGCGAAATTTGGACATAAAAATAAAAAGAAAGTAGCTTTACTAGCTAGTACAAAAAGCATTTTGAACAGGTACAGAGAAAACAGTTTAGTGGCATGAGCCAACACTGAATGGCTGGAAATCAAAGGTCTGCTCCACCTCCACGCAGAAGAATAACGGTGTGTCTGTCTAGCATAATGTTGCGGCTGTACCTGGCTAGGCCCTACTATGTTTGAACAAAGACGTACTGGGAACTTCAAGCACCGCAGCTTTATGTTTGAACGCCAAAAAGCAATTACTATATGGCTACATGTAGCAATGAAATTCCCCAGGTACCATATCTGAAAGGGGCTTAAGTTAACATGTTGTCTCACAGTATGTACAGTCACAAGAAAATGTAATGGCACTGTTTTCAGTTTTCTGCATAAAGTGGTCATGAGATGTGATCTGATCTTCACAAAAGTCACAAATATCAACGCACAATATTTATAAGCTGATAAAACACAAACAGCCATAATTTTTCATGTCTTTATTAAACATACCCATTTCACTTTGGTGAAGATGAGATCACATAATGTGACAAATAGCATACATTAATAAACATAAAATGTTTTTGGTTAATCAGTGTTCTCGGTGCAGCAACAGGGTGATGAGACCCAGGACATCTAATGATTAGTGAGGCCATGGTGACCCAGAGTAGAATCAACCTTAATTCTATCTGAAATAAAATCATATTTGACTGAAAGGACAACCTAAGATTTCTTCTTTGTTCATCGAGTCAACCCACGACCACAGTAAAATGAGGAACTCACCTCCAGCTGAATGTCCAGATCAGCCACAGGACTAGTCAGGGTGCTGAGGTTGGGCAGGACGTGTTCACAAAAGTAGGTTACAAAACGTGTGGAATGGACATTTTTCTAGAAGAAAGGAGAAACCTTGGATTAATTCAAATTTAATTTACAGTAAGCCTCGATGTATGTCTATAAGATGAACAAATCTAAAATCAGCAGCTATCTTGTTAATTGGTTAATCAAGCAAATATGTAGAATATTCTTAGGGTCCAGCTTCTAAAATGTTTCACAACCATAAACTGGATAGTCTTACAAGTGACTCAAAGACTTTCAGCTTTAGTGATGGCAGCCGCGTGTATGTCATGTTTCTGAATAGACATAAGTTGTATGTAACAAGCATGTAGCAGAGTGTATTCAGAAATCATGACGTTAAATTCAATCTATTTTAAGACCTGTTTCAGGCCATGCTGTCATAAATCTTCAGAGCCCCACAATAAGCAACACCATTTTCCAGACCTAACCTCCCCTTAACAAAAAGCATCCCTGAGCCCTGTCCTCACCCAAGCAAAGAGCAGATATGTGGCTCGACACACTATTGTTGTAATGCTAACAAATGAGAAACATTTTTGCACAGTCACAAATTTAAGGTAACAAAAAATTTGCACACCAGATGCTTCTGTTTATATGTTGAGACATTATGATTAACTTGGCTGATTGTGTGTGTTGATTTACTCACAGAGAACAGGGGCAGGGCCTGGCGTGTGCATTGGAGCAGGCGGTCAACAGTGTCAGGATCAGCTGGATTGAGGGCCTGTTCCAGGAAAGCCTGTTCCACCACCAGCTCCACCAGCTGCTGCCGCCCATTCACCGTCTGCAGCACTCGCAGGCCCGACACCACACGCATCAACAGCACAAACTCCTCTCCTGTCACGTCCTCCAGCACCTGAGGAGGCAGAAGGAAAGAGACAAGAAACTCTGAACATGTGTTGTTGTCCATTTTTATACAGGCCAACATCCACCACCGTCTGAACTCCCTCTACCAGTGTCAGTCACAAGACAAGACTGGTTTTATTTTATTTGTTTTTTATTTTGTTTTGTTTTACAGAAGAAGGAATAAATCAGCCAAAGTTTCAGCCAAGATAGCATGTGATCCACATATTTTTCAATGTTAACAAAATCCTTAGCCTATAAATTTGATTTACTACATTGCAATAGGAGAGTTTATGTATTTACAAACTTTACTAATCTACAAATCAAATGTAAATTTTCACACATGTTGCAGACGACACCTCCATGAAGAAGCAGCAGCAAAATTACCAGCCACAATCAAAACCACCAGCTTTTGCCAGTAGCAATCTTAACACATCCTAATTCAAGTACACCATGTAGTGTGGTGTAGTTTAATGTAAAGTACCTCTGTTACATTCAGAATGACACAGAAAACGATCACTCAACAATGATCAAAGATCACTGATCAATCCCACACTATGTGCCAACCTTCTTTGTCTCTGTGAAGATGTATTCCTCCACTTCCTTTGTCATGATGTCCTCTGGAAGAGTCTTTAGTTTGGTTGACAGAAACTTGATTGCCCGTTCCCGTACTATGTCCTCCCCCTGCAGGATTTGAGAAAAGAGGCCTCCAAGAGTACCTGGACAAAGAAAATAGATGGGCTTGAGTCAGTGCAAGTGAATTAGCACAAACTACTAGTTCCAGTCAGAACTAGGGATGTAACAATCAATAAATACACATTAAGTTAACCAATTAATATCTCACAGTTACAAAAGAGTACAATTTGAGCACTGGTTTCAGTAAGTTGAGCAACTCTGGAGACATACATTCATGACATTATATAATATTCTGGACATAGTCTTAAATATTAAACTGACTCCTTCAAATCTACTGAATGAAAAAAGATGCATACTTATAGAATTAGTTAATAAAATTCACACAGGTGTCTGTGGGTGTGCCTCAAAACCTGACCAGCAGGGTGCTACTTGTGCTGGTTGGGAATGGTCTCCATTCATTTAAAATACACCACGTAACAAACGCCACGCTGGCAAGGGCAAATGGAACACAGCTTGTATAAAGGAAGGTCCTGTGAGCAGTCACCCAAAACAAAACAAAAACACTGGCCTAGCTACATTTATTTCACATGGCCACTGGCAAAGTCCTTAACAAACCAATACTGGTTCCAACAAGTACAAACAAATCTCACTCTGGAATTAGCAGTTCAGAGGGGACCACAGAGAAAGACTGGTGCTAGTTTCTTTTTGCAGCACAGTTCTGAACTGGATTGAATGAATGACAGCCATATGGGAGAGATATTTGTCTCTCAGCAGGGAAAACAACACTTACCCTTAGCATCCATCTTGAAGATAGAAATAAGTGCGACATTCACTTGATTGAACTCAGCTGTATCATCTGAAAGCACAAAAATTTGATTTGTCAGTAATCAACATTATCAATCTTAAACAATAAAGAGATTAAACATTAGAATCAAGACACCAAGGTGCTGTACAGAATAATTACCAGAATATTACCAGAATAGAAGGTAAACAAAGTGAGTATATTTATAATGTGAACCGTTTAATGGTTCTAGATTGATCCAGCATTAATTGATAATGATGATAACAATGATAGTTACAACCCTAACATTCAAAACCAACTCAATCCAACACCTGTCTGAAGGAGCTGAGTGAGAATGTCTGCAACTCTGAGGATGTTCTCCCCAGTAGCAAACCGTGGGAGCTCCTTGATGGCCTGCCGTCGAATCTGGACAAAGACGAATACATACACACACAGAGGAAGGTATGATAAAATAAAAATGACAATTGTGAATCCATTCAAAGGAGAAAACTCCAAATCAACTTAGGAACATGTAAAATTTTCAATTTTAGCTTAGTGAAATTGAAGAACAAGAGAACCTCCTGTCTGTGTCCTTTAATACTCACTGACACATCTTCATCTTCACAAAGATCAAGTTGAGCATTAATGGCTGCATCAGCCAGTTCTGGAAAGCTGCAAAAGAACTTTGGAATAAACTGTGCTGCCAGGCGCTTCTCCTTAGGGCCACCCTTCACACCATCCAGGATGACTTGGTAGGCATCTTTATGCTACAGATTCAGAACAAAGCAAAGACTATCAATTAATATTCACTGGAAGAGCTAAGTTTTTAAAAAGTTGGTGCTGTTTGGAACACTAAAGCGCACCACACAGAATGTCGTGTGACGCACATCAATAAAAACCCATACCCATTATTTTCAGTGAAAGCCCACATACCGGTGGTGAATTGACGTGCACCATTGTGGGCTGACGCGTCAACGCTACTATACTATTTTCCCCAGTGTCGACGTGTGTCAAAAGCATAAAATATTGAAGTATTCATTCATTTCGGTAGTCCTGCACTGAATTTAACGACACTCCTGGTGCAAGTTACGGGAGTCCTGTGATGCGTGTCACATGACAAGTTGTGACATGATGCTGCGTGTGGTACCCTTAAGTGTACCTGGATGTAACCAATTCAGCTGGTTATACAGAAAACCAGTTACTGGAGTGATGTGGGAATGTTGAAACTAGCCTGTCTGAGGACGGAATGGTCACTGCACTGGTGTATGATCATCATTTGATGCACCTATGCATCAACAAATTTTACAGATTTTGTACTTTCACGAACCACACAGGACCACACAGATTTTACAAAGTTCATTTCAGCTCAGTAATCGTGACAAGTACTCCTCAGTGTGTGAAAACTTGTTTGCTGTCCCATGTGGTTCCGGAGGGAGCTGTCTGAAGTCTGACAAAATGACCCTGGTGACATAACACTGATTTTGGAAACAGAGCAGCAGCTTGGTAAACGGGTCTTAGATTAGACATTTCTTTGGGGAATTCTATAAAGACTATGAGAACAGCAAGTGCTTTAAACGACATTCTGTGCTTTTCAAACATAGCTGATTGGTTATATTTTACGGAAGTCTGTTATTATACTGTATACAGAAGGCACAAATTGATGCTACAGATACCTTGACTTATAAAACGACTAAAACCTGCCAATTCACTGTCCTAAAGACGATAACGTGCATCATGTGCAAAATAACCACAGCTAAGTGAAGAGGTGAAGTACATTATTTATCCTACTTTGTTTCGATTTAAATCTGTCAGCTCAGCAGTGCAAAAGTTCTCATCAAACTGCAAAAATCATCTTGACTTAAAAGTACTACGCTGAATTTTAATTACAACATCCTATCATTATATTATAATCATATCATAATCACAATAACCTGGACTAAAAATTTTCCTGATTTCTGCTTGAATGGAAAACATTTCGCAAGCGAGTAACAAGCCGTACGTATAATTAAGGATCAAGGGGTCAAGATAGTACCGCCTATCCTGAAAGGGTCGCTATGGCGAGTCTGTTAGTTAGCTCGGTATTCGTTGCTATGTTGGCTAACTGCAGTTAGCTTAGCGCGCACACAACAATGTTATGTAACTACTACGTTTACAAAGTTATCAACCACTATACCAAAATGCGGGCCCATGGAAAGGCAACAAAGCTCTTGGATCAAGAATGTTTTAGAAACGAGAAAGTTGGTTCATACATACCTGACTGAGGTTGTCCTTAGCATCAGCAAGGATCCCGTAGTTACGATAGAGCTCCTCGATAGTGACCGCCATCAGCGTGCCTTCAGGTACCTGCAGCTCACAGATAGGACCGCAGATATAACCACCGAAGAAAAACCCTGTCGGGTCGCTTTTGCTCCGTTTAAAGACGACTATAACAAAAACAACGACTGGATATCGGGAAATACGTTCTGCGAAAAAGGGACGGGGAGATGAAATTTCCAGAAGCTCGTGAATGGACAACCCCACACTAAGTTTCCCGCAGTGTTGACTAGCTTGTAGGCTAAAATGCTACGGAACCACGACTAATGCGCATGCGCAGATTTGGCGAACCGCGTCAATAGACACAACCCACGTGACACTATTGTGCGCAGCCAACGAGCAAAACTAGTAACGAAAAATATATAATAGATCTATAATACACCGTTTGTATATTAAAATTCAATCAAATCGGAAACAAGACTAACTATTAAAACAAATGCAAATCAATACCAACAACGGTGGAAAAGAATTCAGATCCTTTGCTTAAGTAAAATTGTAAAGGTAGGAATAACACCGTGCAAAAATACTCTGTTGCAAGTAAACCTCTGCCTTATATAAGTGAAAGTACAAAAGCATTACATCAAAATATACTTGAAGAACTAAACATTCATTATGCATAGCTTAATGTTGCAGTTTGAACAGACAGAGCTAATTTTAACTACTCTAAATGTTGTTTTAATGATCAGATTTTAATCTAATAATTAAATTACTTTATATACTGCTGTGGATCTTATGGATTTTGTGTTATTAACCTGATTCTGAAAAGTAACTAACTACATTTTTCAAATATATCAGTGGTGTAAAAGTACATATTTGCCTCTGAAATGTATGAAGTAGCAGAAAATGGAAATACTCAAAAGTACAAATACCTCAAATTTGCACTTTGCTTGAGTACAGTACCTGAGTAAATGTAATCAGTTAGCTTTCCACCACTAAATATCAACACTAATGATGTAACAATGCACAACAATATTAAGACTTAATTTAGAAGAAGTACTTTGTTACTTGAGTTAGATGCTGTTTTTCAAAGTACCTGAAATAACAGGTCGAGGCAGAAGGCCGCCCACCAAGAGCCGGGGTCTGTCGGAGGTTTCTTCCATTAAAGGGAGTTTTTCCTCCCCACTGTCGCCAAGTGCTTGCTCAAGGGGGATTTGTTGGGTTTTCCCTATGTAATAATGTTGATAACAGTAAGGTCTAGACCTTACTTTGTAAAGTGTCCTGAGATGACTTTTGTTGTGATTTGGCGCTATACAAATAAAATTTGATTTGATTTGATTTGAAAGACAGATCGACTGTTCCAAGCATCTTGAAGAAGTTGCCATCTTTCTTATGTGGATTTAGGTTGTCTCCGTGCCGTCTTGTCGCTTCGTGTGATCCCAGACTGACTCCATGATGTTGGAATCAGGGCTATGTGGGGGCCTGACCATTTACTGCAGGACGTTTGCTTCATCATATTTCCGAAGATGGCTCTTTAAGACTCTAGCTGCATTTGGGGTCATTGTCATGATGCAGAATTAATTTGGACCATTCATATGCCTCCCTGATGGTACTGCATGATGGGTAAGAATATAAATGTTTGCCTGGAGCTTTTGTATGTCTCTATGCTCCCATAATAAATTTACAGGTATTTTGTATTGAGGGAAACCATTCTCTAAATTCAGAGCTTTGCTCATCCAGCATATAGCATTCACTCACGTTTCTTAAGGTTGATAACTATTTGTTCATCTCTTGACAGGCTCAGGTTCATGAAAAATGGTCTGCTGATTAATTTCTTCATCATCACATAATCTGCTGTATGTGATACACAGTAATGTGATTGAGTAAAATCTGACTACTGTAAAATCTGAACAGGAGTAGTTTTTGACCTCTGACAGCACATGATAAGAGAAGCTACATCTAAACAGAAAGTCAGTGCAAACATTTTTATTGATCTAATTAGTTGCAACAACAATTCTGTACAATGTCCCCTTCTAATAAAATGTTGCTGGCACAACATTCATGTTAAAACACAAGGAAGCACCAGATCCAAGAAATATGGTTTCACAGGAATCTGATTCCTGCCCCAAACTGCACCCCATCACATATCCTGCAAGCAAAGGAGAAAAATTGGTTGAAAGCAAGCCAACACTCAGATTATTTCGAGTGCATGTTAAGGATTACTAGACACAGAACATGGGTCTCCTGAAACAGTCTCCTTACTATTTGTATTTGTTATGCACAACATGTATCTACATTATTGTACAGAAAACCTTTTGTTTGTCATGAAAGGATCTGCTTATTTTGTTATATTACACAGCCTTATGCTGGTTTACTGTTTACTTGTCCCTTGCATGGGGATATGTACATACACATTGAGAGCCGATGTACCAGAGTCAAATTCCTTGTGCGCCCAACACACCTGGCCAATAAAGCAGATTCTGATTCACCTTGTACAGATTCGTACAGTTCTCTATTTTTAAGTACTTATCCCATTTCACAATGAGCGTTCCTTGTTTGTCTGCATTGTTTACTGCCTGTTTATACTGCTAACTGTTTACTGCCTGTTTATACTGCTAATTGCATTGTTAGCTAACATTACCAGCCCTACCTGTCTCCGCTTTGGACTCCCATGGGAATGCAGTAATTCAGCTCCAGCCTGGCAATGTTCCCTAAACGCAACATAATTCCCAGTCCATATGACCAACGGATGCATTCTGCCAGTTTCTTCAAATGAGCTTGTGGTCCCTCACCTGGGTAAATACAAACATATAACTCAGGTCAGACGAAACACATTTGCAAATACCTGTATCAATAATTTCAAAATTCCAAACCTGAACTACATAAATCAGTTCTACATAATTCAGTCAGAAATGTCAAGGTCTGGTTCATAAAACAAATCTTTACCTGTCACTGTACTGGTGCTCATTACATTTTCAACTACTCACCATAGTTAAGGTTACAAAGGTTTCCAGCATTAACGAAGAAGTGAGTTCTGAAGAGGTCACCAAAGCCCCCCATGCTGGGTCTGAAGGGTAGAGGGGTGTAGAGATGAAGGCCTCCAGCCCAATAGGCTTCTCCTCCCAGGTAATCACCTACCATACCAGTAATACCAGCACACAACCTTTCAATTAACCATCAAACTTCAGTCTATTAACAAAGCAACTCAGCCAAGTTAATATCTCACCTTCACTCTGTGGGCCCATACTGTACATACTGAATCCCCTGATACTGGTGGGGCCACCTAGATAGAATCTAGGAGGTTGACAAAGACACACAAAGCATACAATACAGTTAGGAGTGTTCTGTAAAAACAAAAGGTATGCTACAGTTAATTTCATTTAATTTAGTTTTGTGGTCTAGTTTGGAAGATATCAAATTGTCAGGCACAGTTCCTCTGGGGCCACAGAGAGTTGAAGAGGGACAATAGAGGGACATGAAGCAAAAATACTGTGTGAGGTGACAGGGACAAGTCCATGCTGGAGTTCTAAAAACTAGTGGAAGTTAGTCATTTGACCCGCTGATTTCAACATGGCCAGCAGTATCAGCAGCAGTGTCAGATGAAATCCCCTAGTTTAGGTGATAATGACAACAGGTTAGTACACTGCATTTCTGTACCTGTCTGCTATGCTTGTTGGCTTGTCACCAATGGGAAGGAGCAAGCCGCCCCACAGTGAGGCAGAAAGTACCTGTTGGAGAAAATCAAACTGTTTAGCAAAGTTATATCTTGCACAGATTACAGAAACAACAAGAAGCAAGTCAGACAGTTTTTAACATAAAAATGTATGCCTGAGTAATGAAGGACTAAACAAGGTTTTTGAAGATGAGTCTTGTTGTCAATTAGTTACTTTTTTGCTAATTAACCAGTCTCATGAAAACTTCTGTATAGTATTTGAAATCTTTAAGGAGTGAATAATTATTACACATAAATAATTTAAAACTTCTATATCTTCTAATTTATGGTAAATGGACTGTATTTTATATAGCGCTTTCTCACAGTGTGTTACACTGGCCAAAGCGCTTTACAGGAGATTATACACCATTCACCCATTCACACACACATTCACACACCGATGACGAGAGGCTGCCGCACACTGGCGCCAGTCGAACCACCGGGAGCAATTTGGGGTTCAGTGTCTTGCTCAGGGACACTTAGGCATGCGGGGAGACCGGGAGTCGAACCACCAACTTGCTGGTTAGAAGACGACTGCCCTACCTCGTAAGCCACAGCCACCCTGTATACTTACTTGTACTCTACTTGTACTCTGGCATAAAAACAGTTTGAAATAACAGTGGTAAGTGCCTTTAAGATGATATAATTCTCTAAAGGACAGAAATGATCAAATGTAGAACCTCACCGAGTCCCAGAAGAGTGGCTTGTTGAGCTGGATCTCAAAGTCCTCCTTCAGGAAACTGGCATCCCCCCCTGTGTAACCAGCAAGTTCCTACATAACCACACCACAAAATGTGAACCTGGTGTAAAAAGTCAGTGGTACTGTTTTCATATAGCATTTTTAAAAAGCTGACTTAGTGGTGAATAACAAACCTGGTGGATCTTCAACAGACCACCTTTCCTGGGAAGGATGGAGGAGTTTCTGGTGTCAATGACCATAGCATGCTAAAAAACAAAATGGCATTGTTCACACAAGTTATGCTATATGTAGATTTATTACTACAGCATCTTACTGCAGATTCTGTTTTTGCTGCTGTTCAACATAATTAGAATCATTCAAAATTCCTAAAATGGTGTTGCTGGAATTTTTTGTACAAAACATTTTGAAACCCTGACTTAAGCAGTTTTAAGTTTTGAATTCTTTGACAGAGAAATGTCATGAAGCTCCACAGCTACTTCAAATCACAGTAAATTTTTAAGGCATAATAGGAGCCAATTACCGAAAGTGAGGACTTCAGGGAATGGCCACTCTCCTCCCGGACCGCGAAAGAGGCAGTGCGAGCCAGACAGCCGAGTTCTCTCCAAACTCCCTCCCACTTGAGGGTTTGGTTGGTCTTCCACAAAGGGAACTGTGTGGGTAAATTGGCATATCTATATAATGCTTTTGTTTGTGTTTATATGCATGGAATGCAATAAACTTTGTTTGTGCCATAGTAACTGTTATCCCCTTCAAATGAATAGTGGCACTATAAAAGTCCATAAAAGACTTTTAATTGGTAAGATCTTCTTTTGTTATCCATCTATAAAAAATGCAAACAATTAACTACTGGTTGTTTGGAACAAACCTGTACTACAGAACTGGACTTTATGGTTCCTAACAAAATATTTGGATATTGATATCGAAATACAACTTCAATGTGTTCATTAATTTCAAATTAAGCCTTTTTTAATTACAAAACATATATGTAATTGCACAAAACTGAAAAACAGGCACATTAAATAGAACCAAGTATTTACGTTCAGTTCTGCAGAGATGCCTCGATCTGTCTCCCTCAGTGAACTCCATGGAAACTGACCTGTTACTTTGTACACACCAAGTGAGATACTGAAATTGAAAAAAAAGAAAAAGAGACATGTCAGGGCCCTGCTAGTATTCCTTTGGGATTAAAAAAAATATATCCATCTATAGTTACTTCACAGATCGCACAGGCATCTACTGTACCTCCTAAATGATGGGCGCAAATCTAAAGTTCAAGTAGCAGGACAGTCCATTATGTGCATAATGTCAAACCTCTACCACTGTGTTAATGATGAAAATAAAAGGAACTGCATAACTTCTAGCAAAGGATTAGACCCTCCCACAGATACTATAGACACGTACAAAAACAATGTGCTGTATCGAGGTGCTGGGACCTGAGAATAAATTTAGGTATGAAGCCATTCATATCTTACTTGCGTTCAAAGTGTCCTGGTTGAGGTTTGAAGAAGGACAGGCCATAGGATGTCTCTTTGGTGCCATAGGAGAACTGGAAGGTCAGTTTCTCTGCCCGACCGAATACATTGGGTAACTTCAGGCCCAGTACCTGTAATTATAGCGGGTGAGCTGTCCAGTGTATTTAATGATTTAGTGTACAATACCTTAATCACAATGCCATGCACCTCAAAAGTTACTGCAGTGCTTCAATGAAAATGACCTTTAGAGAAACAAACTGTCAAACCAGTGTACTAATGCCAATCTGAAGCAGTGAGTGGATCCGAAACAGCATGTGAGCATCATAGCACTCACCATGCTCCCTTCATTATTTCCAACCATGGTGCTGTAGCTGCCTGTCATCCGTCTCAGCTCAGTGACCTCAAAGGTCACGTCGAGGCCATTAGGAAGAGCATCTTCACCTAAGAGTGGGGGAAACAGACAGAAAATCAAAATTATTAGCTTAAAACAATTAAATATCTCACGACTCATATGATTTTGTGGTTCAACAGAATAATGACTCTTCATAATTTGCACATTTATTTGGAAAGAGCCTATTTATTACCATAAGAAAGAAATTTTTCAAGACCATGCTGTGACAGTACCTTGTGAGGTGTCAATAACGACTTCTACTTTTCTGAAGATACCGAGACGCAGTAGCTTCTGTCGGGCTTCATGTGACATCTTCATCACCTGCATCAATAATTGAACCATGTGTTGATGCCAGTAACTGCTATTCACAAGCATAAATTGAACAAGCATTCATTAGTGCAGCTTTTTATGGATACACCCACATCAATCAAATTCTTCGCCCGGAAAACTTCTGCAATTTCATAAGTCAAAAGGTCCTCTTTGGTTCTTCCAAGCCCATCTATGTGCACTCGTTGAACTACCACCTGGAAAACAAGACTGACAGCATTAGGATTATTAAGAACATCCAAGTCATAATTCCTGGAATTCTTGTCTGCAGCAAAACAAATCTTACATCTCTGTTTTCAAGAACTTCTTGTTTTGGCTCTGGCTCAGTCTCTGGAGCCTCGATGTCATCTGCTTGAAATCCTAGCTCCGGCCCTTGCATGGGCAGAGCGTCCAGGCTCTGTATCACAACAAAATCAGACACAAATCTAAATTACAATCAGAGTTCTTTCAGGTTCCATTTATGAAATCTGATTCTACTCTGTGCATTTAGTATTTTTCGCCACAAATAAATGCCCATCAGTAGAAAAGGCCTGCATTTACTTCTAATAAAGTATTTTCATATTGTGGTATTGCTACGTTAAATAAGTAGGCAATCTGAGTACTTCTTCCACCATTGCTAATACTTATGTACTTAAGCAAAGTTTTGTATACAGGACTTTTTACTTGTAACAGAGAATCTCTACGCTGTGGAATTGCTACTTGCACTCAAGTAAAAGACGTAACGTTACGTAGTTCCTTCACAACGGGTAAAAGTGGTGTAAACAACCCTAACAAAAAAGGATACAGTAAGACTACAGTGAGTGGAGGCACCACTAGCATCTGTCATTAGTGTCGCTTATTTATCTAAAATAAAGAGAAAAGTGCAGTGTCTCTACGTTTCATTGTGAAGTGAAAACTAGCTGTCACGTTTAGCAGGGAGTTAATTCAGCTTTATGTTACAGAGCTGAATGCCTGACTCCTCTTGTGCCTTGTTGAATGTATGGGCCTTATCGTTACAGCACGACTCTGTCACATAACTCACTGAGCACGCAAAGAGGTCAAAGTGCTAGCTAACATGTTAACCAGACTTTTCCTTACCCTGGCATGGACGGTGCCCATATTGAGCTCCACAGGGCGCTGTCGCGGTAAATATAAGCAAAACTTGGTGTGGAAAAATATAAACTAATTTAACCTACAAGTAACCGAAGGCGAAGGGGCTACACATAAGGAGGCGCCATGTCACTTCCTGTCCACGCCCTCTGCGGGTGCACGTTCATCTAACCAACGCAACAAGAACTGGGAAGAAAATAAGAGCGTAAAAACTAACTAAATAACACTTATGTTTCAACTTCATTTTATAACACCTCTACTGACCGGTCGTGGAAAGTAACTCAGTAGTTACGTTTATGCAAGTACTGTACTTAAATGCAATTTTGAGGTTTCTGTAGCCTATTTTCACCTTCTGCCCGTTCATACTTGAGCTTTACTACATTTTAAAGGCAAATATTGTACTTTTTACCGCACTACATTTAATGATAACTTAATAAAACAGAATACAGCATAATTATAAGACCTTATTGATCCCTGGTGGGAAATTCACAAGCTACCAGATCCACCTGTACACAATAGTGCATCAATACTTATCCACTAATATGATATACATTAATATGAAATGTATCATTCTGCATATTGCAGAGGCTACGTTTACTTTTGGCAGTCGAAGTATATTTTGATGCTAATGCTTTTGTACTTTAGTAACAATTGGAATGCAGTACTTCAACTTGTAACAGAGTATTTCTGCTACTTTAACTTCAGTAAAGAATCTGAATATTTCTTCCACCACTGTACTCCACTGCAGATCATAGGAAAATATTTTTACTCAGCTACATTTATTTATTTCCTTTTAAGAATTATGGCATTGTTAATCCCACTGGCCTTCTTACTGAGTGTTTAGGCCTATAGAGTCATGAGTGGAAAATGAGTGTTTTGTGAGGTGAGCCACAGAGATAATCCCCAAGGGCATTCTGAGGAGTAAACCACTGTGTCTTCTTCTTATCTGAAAACATTGTTTTCCACATAAGAGTAAAAAGACAAATCAAAGTTTAGGATCATGGCTTGGTTTAAGAAATTTCACCACAATATGCAAATCATAAACCGATTGTGAATGGCAATGAAACTGTGTGAATCAGAATACACATTACCAGATACATTGTAATAACTGTATAAAATGTGCCCATTTTACATAACCCAAACATCACAAAGTCTAAATGTACATCAATCTAATAACATGGAATAAAACATATATCAGCTGAGTGGAAGAAAATATCAAACATAAGTTCAAGGTTGCTCAAATGTTGCTGAGCATCTCTGCATGCCTTGTATCCTGAAATGACAAAATTACTTTAATAATATGGTGAAATTTTAAATGCTGATGAATGCCTTTTTGTCAAACAGTTTAAATATTACAAGCTGCTCTTACACTTCTTCTTTGAATGTTTCATGGGATATTCTGTCTTCGTTTGCACCTTCAGGACATTCATTAATGTCTTTTATGCTTAGTGTGGTAAGTGCTGTGGGGAAAAGGCTCTGTAAGTATTTGTTTTAGCCCACAGTGTCATTATTCTGAAATTAAAATTCCTGTCATGATATTACATTTTGCTGCATGAAATATCTATAAGTTATGAATAAATAAGCTAAAACAGTAAATATGACATATTTTAAGTATAATTATTGTTTCTAATATAACAACAGTTTTCTCTGATGCTCCATGCAGATAATATAAATGCAAATTATGTATTTCATTATATTGAGAGGGGGTGTGTCAGTCCCGCCCACAAAAAATAAAGTCAGTGTACTGTGTGTACCTTGCTTGTATTGGGCAAAAGTGATGTATCCTTGATTAGCGGGGTCCAGTATCCCAATGATTGCATCCACGTTGGACCCATTGAAAAGATTCGGCCCTTTCACACCACTCTGCTGAGAAATCTTCAGCTGTTCTAGCTGCTCAATAAGAAACTCTCTGGGATTATCTGAATAAAAGAATAAACCCATCTATAAATCACTGCTGTTAAGGTCCACATACTGTGTTTCTGGTAATAAAGGAAAACTTATTGAATGCTTTTGGGAATGTTTGCAGCAACAGACATATTAGGATTCACAACAATATCAAATTAATAAAATCTAATATGAACGATAACTAATAAAATTATAACAACACAAAACTGATCTTTTATTTAAATAGAGCCCTGGGTTATGTTTAGGGGACAAACTGTGAGACATCCACAATTCCACACAAAAGACACCAGGTCTTATATTTAACTGTGATCTTTTAAAAAAAATACATTTTAGTTTATAAAATTCTGCTTAACTGCTAACTGTATATGTAGGTTATGTACATTCAGTTGCCAGTTTATTGGGTATACCTATGTACTCTAATACAATAGTCCTACAATAACTTCTAATCTTTAAGAAGGTTTATAATGGGTGTCTCTGTAGCCTCTCCTCACTGATATAAATGGGGTGTTCAAAATAATAAACATCTGCCAGTCACCTTTAAGGCAAACTACAAAAATGTTGGTTGGATTGAAATATCACCCCTCTAGTTTCAAGAATCAGGATTTTGTGCAAGACTGTTACAGCACTGGGTTGCATTAGCATTAGCATTAGTTGTATTAATTGTTTTAGCAAGATGTACCCAAGAAATTGCCACTTGAGCGTATGCTTATTATAGTACATAACGTTAACTCTATTTCCATTGTTTCCATCAAATTTGAGTGCAGCAGAAGAAGAGTCATAAGAATGAAATCCTAATCAAGCAGAGGTACAATTAAATAAGGCATGATTTAGAATTAAACCTATACATATAAAACATGTTTTATCATTAGCTACCTGTGGCATGTGGGGTTTAGCGTTAGCTAAGTTGAGTTTGCTCCCTAGCTACTGCAAAAATGGTGCGACTAATAGGAGAAAAACGCTCTAACCAGGTCTGTAAAAGAAGAGCGTGCTGGCCAGGTTACCCATGAGCTCGATAATTTTGTGTTTCTTGAGATATTCAGCAGCATCTTGTTCTCTCTGGGCCGCCATCTCTTCCGCTTTACAATGTTGCTATGATACACCCAACAACAGCTGAGGCGCGCGCGCACACACACACATACTTGTTAGTGTACTTTTTTTTTTACATGATTTTGCCCAAAGTCAGCTGGGATTGGCTCCAGCGCCCCCCGCGAACCTATTCAGGAATAAGCGGTATAGATAATGGATGTATGGATGGATGTCGTAATAACATGAAAAGTATGTTTTAATGTGAAAGCACCTCGTAAAAACGAGCAAAGTACCTTATAATGAAAAAAGTTTATCGTTTAAACAAGGGTTACTCTGCCATATGCAGTTCTTGTTCGTACTATGAAATACTACACACAAGAACTCATTAGTGAAGAAAATCATCTGTCCTTATGATGAATAATAACAATAATAGCTGCTGGTTGTGGTCCTACAGCTCTCCTATAATGGAATGCTGAATTCCCTATAGTTTTTAATAGTGTTTATCAGCATACAGGCCTATAGCCAAACATTGTGTGTACCCATATGTCAAGACTAGTGTATAAACAAGTAAAGACTGGCAATATACAATAGTTGATGGAATAATACATCTTCATTGGGGAAATGGATGAAAAATACTGTAAACAAAGACTTAACATGTCCCCATAGTGGCATGCAACTATATTAATTTCTTATAAATGCAAAATAGGAGGACTTAGCTAACATTTTACCACACTTTAATTATCAAAATTACTGACGATTATTTTGGCAAGCTTATATTTCCATGTAGAGCACTAACATTTACCAAAATACTGCCAATATTTTAGCTGGATTTTTTAAAAACATTTAAATTAGATTTTCCATGCTTGGTTGAAACATCAACAACTTACTGACTTTAGCACAGTTCTCTTATTGTTTAACATAACTGTTCCCCCTTCTAAAAATCTAAACACAGTTAAAAGAATGAAGAAATGCATGAACAAAAGATAGATACAACTGGCTGTTCAATATAAACAACTGTGTTCCAGATAAGATCATTTTCCTTTGCAGAAAAATACCAGCAGAGCTGCATTTATTCCACTCGTGTTCCTTAAATTAGAGGAAAAGAGAGAGCACAGAATACATCCACTTGCAGATGTCCCAGAAATGACTCTACTCCCAGCCACACTGCAGCTTCTAGCCGTTGGCAAAGATTGGGCATGGTTTGCTTGACTGTGTCCATCACACAGAGCACATAGGATTCCACATCAGTCTACTTTTTGCTCTGCTTTAAGCTTCTGCAATGCAGCAACAGCTTCTTCTCTGACTTTGTAACCTTGTAGTTCTGTCTGGAGCTCTCCAGGCTTTGGTGGGATCTCTGGTATGCTCTGAAAACAACAACAACAAAAACAGTAAGCATGGTAAACACATTCTGTGGGTGGTGTTAGGTAATAATAGTATAATATGATGTATTTGTATTTTCCAAACTTTTAAAAACCTTGAAATGATCATCATCATAATGCCCGTGCATCCAGAACTTTTAAAATTGTTTAATTTCATCTACATAAAACAAAAACAGGCTATTGTGAACAAACTTTGTTCTTTACCAGATCAGGTAGGTAGTATTGGTGGACGACCTGCGCCCCTGCAAACATGGCCAGTAGACAACTTCCTAACATCCTCAGGTACCGAGGCCAAGACACACCAGCTGGCATCTTCACACTGAAGGATTTGACTCAGCCTGAAAAAAGAGATGAGAATAGTAAACAAATTAAAACCACATGCCAGAAATAAGCACCTAAATCTTTTGGTGCCGAGTCAAACATGATCTCACATCACCTTAACTTGCTAAATAGAAAGTAAAAGGTTTTGTCTATAAGTCTATAAATCAGGGTCACACATACAATTGTTCAATACTGTAATCCTGTACATAACAGGTACTATAAGTATAGGTTACCATTAAGGTTTTCCAGCTTTGTGAAGTTCACCTTTTTATGTACTGTATGTCTGCTAACCAATAACTATCCACTAGACCAGCTAGCTATCAATGCTTGTTAGCCCTGATACAGCTACCAAGTTTTAAAAACAGAAAATGGGGACAGAACATGGATAAACTGACCTGAAGTGACGCTCATAAGAATTAACCTTGTCTATTTTACATAAATGGCCTCAATGTGAAGCTGAATTTCACCATCTTAAACCCAAGTATCTGTCAATCGGACACACAAGCAGGTCACGCTGTTTGGCTAACACGAAGATAAAAAACAAAGAGCTCTCACTCTGCCTCTATTCGTGGATACCAGCTAAACTCGCGAGATATCAGGTGAACTCTGGGTAATCTCAGTTGCAGTTGCCTATTTCGTTCTGTTTTTACTGTGGAGTGACATGTCTTACGAAAACATGCTATCTTTGGCTCTTCTTTTACACTGCAAGTTCTTGTTGGAGCTTTCTTACACATGAGATCTGCCGCTGTCTAGCGGTAGTTTGTAGGAACTTTTTACAGTCTGTGTGATATGTACTATAATTTTTTACAGTTTGAATAAATAACCGGTATTGTTTTATATTATACTTATTTATCGTTGATTGTGTACTTGTGTAATTAATGTGACTGTCAAAAAATATTGAGTATATTACATGCAGTGCACCTCCTGACCAAGAGGTGGCAATAATTGTTCACTCTGAGCGAAAGGAAATGTCGAGCGTTTAAATGGTCTTTGTTTGGAAGGATTCCCAGCCCTCCGTCTCATAATTAAAACTGGAAAACAATGTATGACATGTATGTTTATTTTCTTCTATACCTTTTTTGTTACTGTAGCGGTCATGGCTTCAAAGCAGCTGTAAAACCTAATATTAGCTAAACCTTACAGCTTCCTGTAGCAGCGTCCATTGTCTTCTTTGTGCTTTAATATTCACACAGTTCATGTTTCTAATGTGAATTAATTTATCTGGCATCAGAATGACTGTTCATTTATTCAAATAAGTCAACAGTTAAGATGGAGGAAAACCAGTATACATCATTGACGGTTTCTACGGATTATTTTCAGCAGTGGTGAGTTGGTCTTGGACGTGACAGGTTCTGGGAAACTCATGCTTTCTTATCGAAATCTTCATTTCCATGCGTGAGATGAGATGGAGAAAAATAAATATCATTTGATACATGACATCATATACACATCTGTATACTTTATGTTTAGGTTTGTAGCAAGTGATAGCGTAATTATCAACGATAATAACCTGTTATAATGTAAGAAAAGGGATCCTCAAGGCTAATAGGCTAATATACAACTAACAGCATTAAATTACCCTGAGTTATAATTCAGGTATGTAATAATTCAGGTAATAAATCTAATAATTGCCAGTTAATTTTTCAATGTGATATTACATCATGAATACAAAGACCCCAAGAATAAGATGATCAATAAATTAGTCAACCAGAAGAAAATTAATTAATAAGTATTTTGATAATTGATTAATCATATAAGTAATTATTTAAGCAAAAGTAGCAGACATCAGTTGGTACAAGCTTTTCAAATGTGAAGATTCACAGACTTTCTTTGCTGTATTTAATAGAAGGTGCATATTTAAAGACAGCACTAATTATTGACATTTTACAGACCAAATAATTAATCGACTAAGAAGCAGCTGATTGAACGATAATAAATTTGGCTTGACAGGTTTAAACGCTACTGCACTATCCAGCAGTTATTACACCATCACTTGCTAAAGACTATAAATACACCCACAGTGGCTCTTACTCAGCCTGTTTGCCAACTGCCCAGTGAATACAGACATAAAATAAGCTATTCACATATTTGACTTGACTTTGACATCATATCACATCACAGTGTTTTTGAAAGACCTATCACGTTTGTGTATCTTCATTCCATTCTAGACTATTTTGCCGAAATGAACTATAGGTTTGGTGTTTGAAGAACTGTTTGTGTGTGTAACAAGTTCTAGATATTGTATTTATCCTGGTCATATAGTCACATTATAGAGGTATTTTTAGCATTTAATTTGAATGCAATAAATGTAATGCAAGTGTGTTTGTTTTTAAGGACCATGTCTTGTAAGTTTCCTCACCTTCTTACCACACCCCATTGAACACCAGGCAAAATTTTGCTTTTCATGCTCTGTCTGGGTCCTGTTCCGTTTTGTTCTTTTGTTGACCTTCCTCTTGCTATCCTCTTTAACCCTCTTTCTCCTCGTCTTCTCTAGGTATCAGTCCAGCCAGCAGCACCCTGAGGTGCAGCATGTGATGCCATATCACAGTGTGGGCCATTACACTGAAGGGTCCAGAGATGAGCCTGTCATGACTGAGCTCTCTGTTCACCGGGAACAAACTCTTTACCAGGAACCTTTTTATCAGAACTACCCCCTTGCCCCAAATCATTTCCAGGAGTCATCCTACCAGCAGAACATCAGGCAGCAGCAGCACCCTGCAGTCCTGGATCACCCTCAGCATCAACATGAAACACAGCAGCAGCAGGAGCTGAGTTTTCAGCATCACTCTCAGCCTGCCAGTTCACCACAAGGTATGGAAGACATTTTGGTCAATCTAACTGTCCCCCAGACAAGATCTCACAGGGTTACATGGTGTCAAATATCCAGTAGCTTTTGGCTTACAATCAGTCAGCCTGTCGTTTATTATGCACATACTTCCCTGTACTGCAGTGGCATAGCAAAATAGTTGAGTGATCATGACTCTACAAAATAATTTGAGGACTTAAAGCTACAGTATGAAAGGATAAATCACCCACAAATGGGAGACTTATGCACCTTCATGTGCATTGGTACAAAAATAATTTTTACAGTGTCAGATGCAGTATTTCTCTTTCACCCTACACTGATAAAGTGTAGGTCCATAATGTTTTGTAGCCAAGCAAGCTGCTGTTTGGGCCCATATCTATGCCATTATTCTAAGTATGGCTCTGAATTTGAATTCACCAACAGATGTCTGTCATTTTTTTGGTCATACTTTGACATATTCTTCATCTCTGTCCTAGCTGTGACACCAGTGAAGAAAAAACGAGGGCGGCCTTCTAAACAGCAGGCCGAGGAGGGCAGAACACAGCAGGACGAGGATGATGAGGTTGAAGCCGCCAAGAAGGCAAAGAGGGCCCTCAACCGCTTCAACGGCATGTCAGTAGCTGAGGTTATGGCCAGAACCCTGCCAGACATTATTACCTACAATCTTGACATTCTGATTGTGAGTTATCCTATTAAGAATTTATATATTTGTTTTATAAATTACATGTTTATATTTTGTTATTTTGTTTCTTATATTTGCATTTTCAAACTCTACACAGAATGTATCTTTGTCATAAGAGCTCGGTCACGTAACACTGTAGCTTTTAGGTCTGTTGCCGTGGTAACCCCTTCATGTTTCTCCTCAGATTGGAATTAACCCAGGACTATTGTCAGCCTTCAAAGGACACCATTACCCAAACCCAGGAAACCATTTCTGTATGTTAAAATTCTGTTTCATTACTGAGTACAGGGAATACATGCCAGCTTTCACTTGTACCTGCTCATCCCCTGTTGTACCCAATGTGGGTTCATCGATACCAAGACGTGTGAACCAGCTCAGATTTTGTTTTTTAAATACAAGTAGAGATCCTAAAGCTTCCAGAGTTACCAGTATAATAATTTGCTGCAATTGAACTTTGCAACTTTCAGTCTGATATATTGGTGCAGCCAAAAAAAATGGTGTCTTGGGTTTGAATATATGACTCTGTAAAGAAATTATTTAGTTGGCAACATAATACACAGATTGTCTGAGACTGATGTACCATGTTGAAATATGTGCATTTTTTTCATAACTGAAGCTTTTTAATGGGTCATTAGTAAGAATATCAACATTTAAGCACTCAGTAGAAAATGTATGCATGGAGAATTCAAATGTATTAAATGCAGAAATCAGTGTGCACAGTCATTTCATGAGTTTTTAAATCCTCAAGCATATTTTTGATCACATACTGCAGTGTCTAAATTTAGCTATGCTACAATTTTTCTTTTAAGTTTAATTTTAGTCTTTGGTTTTCCTGTATGTTTTGTGCACCATTCATTGTTATGCTGTTATGGTAACCAGAGATATTCAGTACCCAGCTCACTGACTGTTCTTGCACCTCAGCAGGTCCAGTATCAGCACAGTATTTTATTTTACAATGAAGATATTTTGCAGCTCACAAAATTTTGGACCAAAACAAGCATGCACATTGTCCAGTTAGTTGTGTGTGCTGATACTGTCTTGTAGATTTAGTGCAGCTGCAACACCTGAAACATGCCTTAACCTAGTGCTGTCAGATCTTACATTTGCTTTTCTCTTCAGGGAAATGTCTGTTTCTGTCTGGTCTGACTGATCAGCAGCTCAACTACATGCATGATCAGAGCCTCCCGGAGAAGTACAGCATCGGGTTCACCAACATGGTGGAGAGGACTACACCTGGCAGCAAGGACCTGTCCAGGTGAATGAAAACACAGAAAAACACACTGATCAATGAAGTTTATGGAAATGCAGTTTAACCAAAATAATGCACTTTACATTTACAAATTAGTCACTCAGTTGACGCTTTTATCCAGCTCAGTGTTTCCCCTACCATTCATTTGGTGGGGACAACCTCCCTGCCCCCAAAAAGAAAGGCACAAAGCAGGTTCATCTTATATGCATTCTACTGTCCTGCACCCTACAGAGGGCATGGCTTATCCATGGTTACAGCTAAGACAAGAACCAAGTTTAATTCACAGCAATCCGAGCTAGAGATGTGTGTTCAGCACACATGCCGAGCATCAAACGCAGAAGGAAAGGCAGGCCAAAATATTGGCTTTTTAGCCTGCCCCATGCACTGCCAGTTACACGCACCAACAAGCACAGGAAGACAGGCTAAAAAAATGAACAAACACTGACACCCCCACCCCCCACCCCCTTTAGTGAAAACCAGACAAAAATGTTCAAACCATCCCTCCAGCAGGCCTGCCCTCCCTGTTCAAACTAACCTAGGGGAATCACTGCAGCTCAAGTGAAAACAATGAATGGGTGCAACATTTTGTAATCCAGTGAAAAAAAAGATATGACTGCTGTTGATTTTTTTTTTCTAAAACGATTTTTTAAAATCCTAGTAAGGAGATTCGTGAAGGAGGTCGACAACTACTTGACAAGTTGCAGAAATATAAACCATTAATAGCTGCTTTCAATGGAAAAGGTACAATTATTCAAACGCTGAAACTAGTCTGTCCATTTCTGATGGAAGTGTTTAGATGCCCTTTTCATAAAGCTCTTGTGTAAGTTTAGCAGTGCCCTATTTTGTCGGCAGGTATTTATGAAATCTTCTGCAAAGAAGTATTTGGTGTGAAGGCAAAGAATGTCGAGTTTGGTCTACAGCCCTACAAAATCCCTGAAACTGAAACGGTATGTGGGAACACTTACTGGATGACTCCTAAAATACACTGTATACTCAGGCATACAAACAACAATCCTCATAGCATGTTTCTTTTCACCTACTATAGATGTGCTACTTGATGCCATCGTCAAGCCCCCGTTGTGCCCAGTTCCCTCGAGCACAGGATAAGGTGCATTTCTACATCAAGCTGAAAGAACTGCGAGACCAGCTGAAGGGCCTGGCACCCAGCCATGAGGTGGTAGAGACACAGTACTCCTTCAATCTGCAGCTGGCTAAAGGTAAACAGTTAAATTCCCATCCATTATCTGTACCGCTTATTCCTGAACAGGGTTGCAGGAGCCAATCCCAGCTGACACTGGACAAGAGGGAGGGTACACCCTGGACAGGTCACCAGTCTATCACAGGGTTGACACTTAGGCAACCACACACACTCACACTTACTCCTATGGGCAACTTAGAGTTACCAATCACTGTCTGTGGACTGTGGGAGGAAGCTGGAGAGAACCCACACAGGGCCAGGGAGAACATGCAAACTTCGCACAGAAAGGCTCTGGGTCGGCCCGGGGCTCGAACCCAGAACCTTCTTGCTGTGAGGTGACAGCCCTGTGTTGGACTGCTGTTCATTCTGTGGCTCACTTACACGCAGAGATATTCTGTACCTGCTTATTGGGATTTTCAGAAACATCATTTACTGACATCTTTATGTTTGAATTAATGTCCAACTTATTTCTTTTGGTTTTGTTCTGCAGAGGATGCTAAGAGAATTGCGATCAAAGAAGAGCAGGTGGATCCAGAGTATGAAAGCTGTGGTGGCCTGCATAACGACGCGAGGCAAAGCAGCAACTTCTCCAACTAAAAGACACAGAGGAGAGGAGAAAAAACAGGCCAGTGAGCTGCAGCACACAGGTAGTGGAGTTACCATGTAGTCACATTTAGATGGAACTAGAGACAAATCAACCAGTTGTTTCTGGTGCATAAAGTGTAGCTGTAAAAAGTGACTCCAAACCACTGTGAGTTAGGAATATTCAGACCTTTTGCTTATGTTAAAGTAGAAATACCACAGTTCAAATAGTACTGTGTTATATGTACACATTCAAAACCTTACTCAAGTATGCGAGTATTATCAGCAAAATTAAAACCCATCCATCACTATACAGTCAGACTGAGTTTTGTCACTGCTACATTTTTATACCAGATTTTTATTACTGTAAATGTAACACTAATTTTAATATTGTAGTCAACTGTGGTAGAGCTGATTTTACTCACTTTGTCTCTGTCCAGGTGCCTTAATATACTTTGTGTTTTATAGGCTCATTATGGTTTAAAAATCTTCATTTGCAAAGTAACTGGAATAACTGGAGTAACAGTATACTTGTCAAATAATTGTTGCAGATTAAAATGTACAATATTTTTCTCTGAAATGTAGTGAAGCAGAAGTATAAAGCAGCAGAAAACTGAAATACTTAAGTACAGGTATATCAGAACTGTTCTTAAGCACAGTACTTCAGTAAACATGCATAGTTACTTTCCATCACTGTGACAGATTACATACATATCTAAAGCAGAGATAAGTGTGACTTCATTTTTACACAGTACTGACATGAAAAGAACTAATGACCTGAAGAATCCAGGGAGAATGGATCTGTCACACGCTAAGTGACATAAAATACACAAAACACAACCACAGTCCTTTAAAATATATTTTAAGTTATTTGTTGAAGTTAAATAATTTGCCAATATATCGGTTATTGACTTACTGTATCAGTGCTTTCTGCAAGCAGCACAGTTCCTTTTTATTGTGGTACCTTGCAGAAGTGGACATTGTCGACCAGGCAGCAAGCGGACAGCATGATATGGAACCACTACAGCTGGAGATGTCTGCTCAGTAGATGCCAGCTGTACTAGTAGCAAGGTCCATCAGTATGAAGTCAGGTACGAAGCCTCTGATGACACCACAGAAGAAGAGGAGTCCCACCGAGGCATCGCAAAGTTACGCACAAAAGAGGAAGTGTCCTCAACAGTTACATTACTCCCAGATAGACGTTGCATGATTTAGGTGTTGTTGTTTTTTTTAATCACAGTTTATTGTATATTGTAAGGTAACGTGTCCAGTGACCTATTTTTGTATCTTTATGTATGAGATTCTATGATTTATCAATTGTAGTCTGGAATTTCTAATCTGTAATTACGGAGTTAATAAATCTCTTTAAAACTGCCACCTTTTCTT